TCCCCATGCAGGACAGCACCACTGCCTGAGGCCTGCACACTCATCCTGCCCCGGGGTCCAGAAGCGCCCGAGGCTGAGTGCGGATGTCCCGGCACAAGCATGACCGGGGACAAGGGCAGCTGATGAGCTCACGGGCTCTCCTGGCAGCAGGTCCCTTCATGGTTTTGCTCTTCTAACACATGGCAGGTGCCCAATAAAACCTAAGATAACTGGATTACATGTGTTCTGCAAAATTTTCCCCATATCGTTAAGTCTTGCACACATTAGAAGCTTACTGTGATGCTGCTAACCTGGGACAAGCCACTGGAGGAAGCTGGAGCCCAAGGGGGACCGGTCTGTGCGCCTGTCTTCTCTGCCTGCCACTTAAACACGTCCGTCCTCCCTCTGATCAAAATATGCATGTTAATCTCCACACCGGGATACCGCCCGATGTGACTTTGTGTAAAGCTTTGTGCTTGTCTGAATCCCCCTGAACACTTCGTTCTTGACCCAGAACATCTCAGGAGACTACACATCCTTATTTTCACGGTTGGAAAGGTGTGTATTTCCGAAGTCCGTGAAGGCCCTTAGTGCTGGGATTCAGTGCTTCGCCGCACTCCGTCCTGTCTGGGGCCCCTGCGGTGGCTGTGACCGCCCTGGAGGGGCAGGGGTCCGAGCACACAGCAGAGGCCAGGCCACAGGAGGCCCTGGGCCGCATCGACCGAAGGGACCCAGACTGCAGCTGGCACCAGTCCCGACAGGGGAGCCCAAGCCCCACCTACTGCAGGCACCCACTGTCGTCGCTGCACCCTATCCTCAGGGACACAGGACCCCAGCGTGGGGGATGGGATCTAGCCCCGTCCTGTCTCCAGGCGCAGCTACTTATTGGGTTTGGGTCTTGTTCTGTTGTGACCCCATGATCGAGTTGGCTTCGCCAGTCATGGGACCCTCCCCAGAGAAAACACACTGACCAATAGCTACGGGACATTCGGACCCGAGCACAGACTCCTCATAGGGCACTTCCAGAGCTGACCACACAGACCGAGCAGGAAGGCAGGTCCAACCCGACACAAAGCATGGATGTCTGGGTGGCCAAATGAGCAAGTGGAGCGAACCCAGCCAGTGTCCCTTATGACACCAACCCATGAACACGTGTTCCCCCGGTCGCCACCCCCCCCCGGGCTGCCAGTCATCACTCGTGACTCAGGAGATTCCACTGATGAGCTGGGGAATGTGGCCATTAACAGCCCCAAGTGGTTCCTGAATAGAGGTCACTCACTGACACCCGCCAAAGCCCCAGGCTGCCGGAGGGTAACTCTACCTGATGATACCCTTAGAACACTATTACTGTCAACACTTATCAGCTGAGGGGTCCAGTTAGACCGTGGCGGGCGGACACAGCGGCCCTTGCCGCCAGGCTCTGAGGAAACTTCCAGAACAGCCGTGCCCTCCTTGCTGTATGTCAGAGCCCATTCCCCTCCGGTGACCCACCGCCTTCCAATGCCAGGCAGTTGACCAGGTACGTCTGTGCTCCCTCCACCACTACGCGGCCCCCGGACAAAGCCGAGCCAGGCTCCCAGGCAGGAGGCATGGGGTGAGGAAGGGGTGAGGCATGGGGGGCGGCGAGCTGGATGCAGCTCCCCTCCGCACGCCCCCCTTCAGGAATTTGCCTCAAACCTTGGCTCTGGAGCTTGAATTTCAAAAGACACTTGCTGATGAGAACAGCTGGACCATATGATAGATGTGTTTTCTAATCGAAGTCAACAAATTGTCCTCTGACTTTTCAACTCAGAGAAAAGATGATAGAAATCAGGTGGGGCAGCTCAAAGTCAGAAATGCAGCAGGTGCCGTTTGCAGAGTGGGATCCCTGCTGCAGGGCTCAGGCGAGGGCAGGTGGTACCTGCAGGATCCAGCCACATGACAGGGCAGGTGCTCTGGGCTCCCCCCACATCCCTGGGCAGGGCATCACTGTTCACCCGGCTAATCAGGGTCCATTTGGTGGAGCCCCCTCAGCCCTACCCTGCAGATGGTCTCCTTGAAGTCCTCCCTCAACAGAGACAGGGCCCTTGTTTCTTCCCCCCAGCTTGAGACGCTGGTGTCACCGTGCCCACTGCCGATGGCACAGTAAGTGTGACTCATTCCTTCACCAGAACATCTAGCAAAAATCAGGAAACTGTTCACATTTTGAGGTCCCCAACTTTGGCTGAACTAATAGTAATTGCATTTAAAATGTGTCTCCCTTTGGTTCTCTTTGAGATGTTTTAGACATTCCGTGTCTCCATTATCAATTGAGTTCCCAAAAATAGTTATTGCTACATCACCCTGAATTAGGCTGTATAAGAGACAGGTGTGGAATCAGGTGCAGACTCAAGTACAGGCTCAGGTGTGGGCTCAGGTGTGGGCTGTCTTAGATTTGAGTCCCAGGCTTGCCCTTGGCGTCTTAACTGGTGTCTGAGCCCAAAGTTTCCCATGATTATGAAGGTGAGCATGGCACTCAAAATACCTGATATGCTAACATATGGGTCTGCCCCCGAGCAGGTGCGTAGACAGCATCCGCTCTCAGTGTTATGAATGAACCTTAATTCTTTTCTGTTAAGGTTTTATTTATTTATTTGAGAGAGAGCGAGCGAGCATGGGGGGAGGGGCAGAGGGAGAATCGCAGGCAGACTCCCCACCAAGCAGGGAGCTGACGTGGGGCTCGACCTCACGACCCTGAGATCACGACCTGAGCTGAAACCAAGAGTCAGACATTCAGCCGACGGAGCCACCTGGGCGCCCCTGATGAAACTTAATTCTTAATGAATTAATTAATAATGATTTAGTGAAATTTAGCTACTCATAAAGACTACTGTTAATGATGCTGATGATGGTGGAGTTTGTTGGGTTTTAAAGGGAAACAGTTAAAACAGAGGCAATCCATCCCCCATCGCGGGGCTGCGGTGCCCGCTAGCGGCCACACGGGGGCGCCGCAGGACAGCGCGGGCTGCCAGGGCTGGAGCAGGTGCGGGATGGAGCAGGAGCCCGGGGTCTGGAGGAGGAGGGTTAGGGGTGTCCCGGGACCAGGGGCCGGAGAATGGGCCGGGGGGGCTGGGGGAGGGGGCGGGGGGGCTGGAGGAAAGGGCTGGGCGCTGGAGGGCGGGGTTAGCGGCCTCCGGGACCGGGGGCTGGAGGAAGGGACCAGGGGCTGGAGAAGGGCCGGGGGTTGGAGGAGGGGGCGGGGACCAGAGGCTGGAGGAGGGGGGGCTGCGGGCGGGATGAAGAGGGCGCAATGAGGCCAGCAGGGCGGAGGGACGAGGCCGACTGCCATGCCCTTACTCCCACCCGGGTGGACTGGCGTGGATCCCTCAATCAGAAGAGACACCGGGCTGGACACCCCCATTTCAGATATTAATCCCCTCCCCAGGGCGGCCCTGTCTGGGCAGGGTCCCTGAGCTGCAGGAAGTGCGCCAGAGGGGATCCTCCCCGGGGAAGGGCAGGTGCCTCTGACCAGCCCGACGCCCCCGCCCACGCAGGGCAGGAAGGTCTCCGGCCGCTGGCCCAAAGGGATCCCCCAGGACGGGGTCCGCCCTTGGACCCGCGCCACTGCGGGCGGGATGTCCCTGGAAAGAGTCCAGCTGCAGTGCCCACGGTGGGCACGGCTACCCCTAGCAGCCAGTTGCAGGGAAAGCCAGTGAGCGGGGCGGGTGCCCCCGCTGTGTGGGGACTAGACAGAGAGCCTGGCCACGTGGAACCTTCCTAAGCAGACACACCCTACCCAGCCACCCAGTTAGTCTTCACACCCAGTGTAGACAGGACACCCAAGGTGGGAGGGTGCCACCTTCCTGCCCTCGGACAGAGGGCTCTCACCTGGGGTAGACAGGCCCCTGAGGGTGGGCAGTGGGTCCTGCCCTTACAGTGAGGGTCCCACCCGGTGTAGACAGGGACCTGGAGAGTCTGGGTTTAGGTCTTTCCCGGATCCCAGGGGTGTGAGGTGGGGGCTCCTGTTCAGGCTGGTGGAGGTCTGCAAACCTGTCTCACACAGGTTTGGCCTTCAGTGTAGGGTGGAACCTTCCGGGTCCCGGTGCCTGTCGGGTTTCTGGGAGCAGGCGTGCAGGCCTGGACGTGAGGTCCCAGTGCTGACATGCAAAGCCTCGCCTGCATCTCCCCTGTTCCCGCCAACAGCGCCCGCCCGTGCGGGCGCCCCCTCTCCCCGCACCTCCCCCAGCAGGGCCCGGTAGCTTCCAGGTCAGGCGCAGGGCAGCTGGGCAGAGAGCCCTGGACGGAAGTCTCCATACACTCACCCTCCACACAAGGCAAGGCTTCCCCAGACCGTCTCATCTGACCCCGGGGTCCCTCCAGACAAATCCCAACCTCCCTGCGGCCCTGGGGGCCAGGCCCTGCCTAGAAGGAAAGGGTGTGGTGACCTGACACCATTGTGCCCGCTGCCATAGCCCCACCTCGCTGGGACCCGCCCCTTAGAAATGGGCCGTCTGGTCCTTGAAGATGGAAGTCCAGACTGCGACTGACGGACGGGAGGGTTCTGACTTCTGGCACGGACGGCCTTTCTCAAACCACATCAGTGCTGGAGGGGGTCCACGGTCCCGGGGTTTCGGGGGGCTGGCCGGGCTGTGTCTTGGGCCCTCCCCTCTGGGTGGGATGTGCCTTCTCAGCTGGGGGCCAGGGGGGACACCTTCAGTAAAGATGCATGCGGGGGGGGGGTCACCAACCAAGCCTCAAGGGGGGCTTTCATCTTTCCCCAGAGTCGGGGGCGCACCCAGGAAAATCCCGTGGGTGCCCACGGAACGTGGCAGATGCGTAGCGGGCAGAGCCCTGTGCTGAGAAGGCACAGGTTGGCCTGAGTGTCCTGTCCCGCCGCCCTGGCCAGGAATCCAGAAGCCATCAGAGGAAGAACCCGCTCCCCACCGGGACTGATGGGGGACAGTGACGTGCCCACCACACCCTCCCACCTCAAAACCTTGTCCTGGGGGCTGGCTTCCTCGCAGCCCAAGCACACCGTGTGGGCTTTTTCCTTTTCGCTTTTATTTTATTGGACTGTAACACTCACACGGACAAGCGCCTGGACCACGCGTGGGCAGCTTGGCGGATAATCACGGTGTGGACATCCATGAAGCCACAACTCACATCAAGAGACTACACACACAGAAGCAGGGGGTGGAGGAGAAGGCTGAGGGCCCACACTCGGCTTAGGGAGGGCAGGCAGGGGTGGCCTGGGGCCCAGGGTGCGGGCCGGGGCAGGGGGTCCCACCGCTCGGCTGCCCGGGCGGCCCTGCTGGAGGGGCATATGGGGGGGCCCCGCCAGGAGGCGTCAAGACTTGCACGGGCCGTCAGGGGCTGGCCTGGTACAGGTACATGATCCAGAGGATGCAGACGGTCATGGACACCCAGACCCACACTTCTTCGTAGGGGTCCAAACGCGGTGCACAGCAGTCACAGCCCAAGTCCTCTGCCCTGCCGAGCCCGGCCCCCGGCTGCCCCCTCTTCTTGTCACAGCCCTGCGTGGCCAGGCCACCGCTCCGGCGGCCACGGGCGATGGAGCCGGGGCCCTTGTACTTTATGATGTCGAAGACGGAGAAGGGGATGGTGATGGAGCCCTCGCTAATGGTGACGGGTCTACGGGCGCGGGTCCCCGGAAGGGGCTCACGGCCAGCAGGGGCAGGGCCATCACCGCCACCCTTCTCTGTGCCTTGGGTGGTGTTGGCAGAAGCATTCTTGCCTTTGTCTTCGTCAGTGAAGATGAAGGGGAAGGTGACGGAGCCGTTGATGTTGGGGAAGGAGTCGTCTCTGATGACGTTCGCCAAAGACGAGGGGAAGGTGATGGAGCCCTCTCCGTCACCCGTGAGGCCAATGATGTAGGACACCGGCAGTGGGCCATTTCCGGCGGAGCTGGGGACGGAGCCCCGGCCTTTGAAGATGAAGCCTTTCAGCTCGAAGGGCTTGATGCTGCTGATGAGGAGGCCTCGGCCATGGGAGATGGGGCATTTGATGTTCACCAGGAGGCCTCTGCCCTTGGGCGTGGCTGTGGAACTGGCCGGCAGGTAGATGGAGCCCTTGCCGATGACGAGGGGCCCGCCGGGGTCAGCCGCTGGGAGGGAGCCCGACCCTGGGCTGACACGGCCCTCGGCCCCAGCGGCGGGCCCCTTGCCCCTCCCCGCATCCACAAGGGAGAAGGGGACAGTGACGATGTCATCATCCTGGCTGAAGAAGTTGCTGCTCTCGGAAATCGGGTTCCTGATGAAGTCGGCCACGGAGAGGGGGATGGTGATGGAGTTGGGGGTGTAGCCCCTGGCGCGGTCGACCACGGGCCCACTGCCGAGGGTGAGCAGCTGCTTGCCGGCGGCGGTGCTGGCCAAGCCGCCGCCGCCGTACAAGGTGTACCTGCCCTTGATGGTGGTGGGGCTCTTGACCTCGGGCCCCCAGGCTGGGTCTGGGGGCTTCTGGAAGAAGCAGACGCCCAGGTCGCAGGCCTCGCAGCGCTCACCAAAGCAGATCTCGGGGCACTGGTCTGAGCCGAGGCTCTCGCCATAGCACTTCTGCAGGATGAACAGGACTAGCTTGTTGAGGAAGAGCCGGACATTCAGAAGGCTCACCTGGCAATGTCCCTGCGCGCCCGGTGGGCACAGCCTGCACTGTTGGCCCCAGATGCGCATCTTCACCAGCCCCAGGCGGCTGCCCTCGTCCAAGCATGTGTGGAAGAGAATGTGCACGTGGGCCGAGGACCAGCCCCACTGGCAGCGGCCACACTGGAGCCTGGGGGCGGGGAGGAGAGAGGCGGCAGTGAGTGCAGGGGAGGGGGACGGCCCTGGTCCCCCCCGCCCCAGCTTGGAGGCCGGCCCAGCACAAGCTCCGGGGACCCGGAGACCCGGAGACCCCTTCCGCAGGGGTGCGCCCCTTGCCTGCGCGCATAATCTGGAAAGCTGAAAAACAAATGCCTTTTCACCAGTTTGGCTCAGAGCCTGGCTCGACACGGTGGGAGTTCACTGCCCTGCTGCTTTTCTGCCCTGAGGACATGTCACCAAGAGCCAAAGGCAGCCCTGCGGATACCTGTGAGCTACCTGTGAGCGGGGGAGAGCCTGGCTCCCCCAGGGGAGGCCCCTTCCTCCGCCGCCCCCCCTCCCCGCAGGCCCCTGCAGGGCAGGGCATGCCTGGCTGGGTGGGGTCCCGGCAGGCCTGGCCCATCCCTGGGGCTGTCCCCGTGACAATGCAGAGAAGCGAGGGGAGGCCCTGGAAGGAAGAGCCCCATCCCCGTGGAGAGAAGGTGAGAAGGAGGGGCGGGAGAGTCTCGGGACACAGAGGGGCTGGGGGCTCCCAGGACGATGGTGAGTGAGCCCCTTCCACGGGTCCGCTCTGACTCCAAACACCTGAGCAAGCTGGCCGAGCACCACCGGGGCTGAAGAAGGTGCCGGTCTGGGGCCGCAGGGGCTGAAGAAGGTGCCGGTCTGGGGCCTCTGCGGCCGTGTGCCCCAGGGCCGGCAGGGGGGCCCTCTCTCCAAGACCCTTAGGTCACGGACAAGCGACCCCATGCACGTGCACGTGGGAAACCTGCCCAGCATCTCCCAGGCAGCACCGTCCCACGGGACTTTCCGCGATGGTGAGGATGGGCTCCGTCCTTGCGGCCCAGCCAGCAGCCTGCAGCCACAGGTGGGGCTGGACACGGCTAGTGCCCTTGGGGCTGGACTTTCAACTTCATTTCAGTGTGGCCAGCTGTGGCCAGGGGCTGCTGTGTGCAGAACGAGGGACAGTGCCTTGTGACCCCCCCACACTCCCCGGCATTTTTAGCTGTATGAATGCTGAAAGGCAAGGGAACAGTGTTTGTGACCCTCTGCCACTGAAAGCAGTTCTCCAGCTTGGCCGTGGGAACAGGTGCTTCTCGGACACGCCAAGGGCTGATTCTCCTAACACCTGGGAAAGCCAGCGTCCCACTAAACACCTGGCCCCAGGGGTTTCAGACACTGGGTGGGGGCTGTGGCATCCGTGTCAAAGGGTGGCTGCCCAGAGAGTCCCTGTGGTGACCCCTTCCCCCGCTGCCCCCCCCATGGGCCCCTGCAGGGCAGGGCAGGGCATGCCTGGCTGGGTGGGGTCCCCACAGGCCTGGCCCATCCCTGGGGCTGTCCCCATGACAGTGAGGAACGGGGCTCACATGGTGACCCCCACGACACTGGGGCTCCCAACCCGGCCCCTGCTTGGCCGGCAGCCCAGCCCAGACACAGCCCCCACCTCTGGGCCTGTGCCCCCCTCGGGCACGACTCAGCCTCCCTCCCTTCAGGCCCCTGTGCAGGGTGGGTCGTGAGCACAGGCGCCTGCCCATCCCCTGCTCTGGCCGTCAGCGCTGCCATGGAAACCAGGAGATGCTGCAGTGAACAGACAAGCCTCTCACGCGTGGGTGGCCGCGTCACCCCCCAGCATCCACCCCGCCCCCACTTCTGCCGGGCCCCTGACTGGGGTGGCCGGCACCGAGGGACTGAACAGAGGTGGCTCCCCAGCCCCCCACCTCCCGGAAGGGAGAACGAACGCCTGGTCCACCTACCTGTCGGCGGCCAAGAGCCGGCGGGATGCGTGCCCCTCTCCGGGCCCACATGGGCCTCCGGACTCAGGGCACCCCAGGCCGGTGCTTAAGCAGCTTCAGCCCCTCCCTGCCCAGCACCCCACAGCCCCCTCCCCACCCCCCCGCCTGCAGCGCACCTGGAAAGCCCCCTCAGCCGGTATTGAAAACCGCCGCCCTCCGTGTGCCCGGAGGCCAGGTTCTCCTCAGGGACCAGCTCCCAGGTGTCCTGGGGTCTCCTCTTGGCCATCAGCTGGGCCAGGGTGCTGGCCCACACGTCCACCCCATCCATGCTGGCGCCGGGCTCCGCAGTGCGGTCTGGAAGCTGCCGCTCCAAGGAAGCCTGGGATCCCACATCCTGCGTCCTCACCAGCCAATCACCGCCTTGACAACCGTCCAGTCTCCACGGCAACCAGGGTCGGCTCCGGGGAAACGAGAAACAGGCCTTTTTTTCTCATCCCCTCGCATGTTTTCTTGTTACGCAAGCGATACATTTTCATTTTAGGAAAAATGAGAAACAAACAGATAAATACAAAGGAAACAGACAACAGAAAATAAACTGGTACCTAATCATCACTGTGGTGCTGACGTCCGCACATGGCCCCACACGCACAGGCATGTGTAAATCTTCGTATTGTTTCTCACAAGCAGGAAATCGCACTCAACGTGGCCTCCTTAGCCCACGACATGCCTCGGACAGTGTTGCCCACTCGTCCGCGTGTAAGCGTCTGCCGTGTTTGCAGCCCGCAGCTGAGCCGCATCTGCTGCCCGGCCTCCATCCCGGCTGCTGGGTGCTCCTTCTTTACCATTGGAAATGAGACCGGGAGGAAGTGCCCTGAATATGGGTCCTTGCAAAGTTCCCCATGGTTTTTTCTCAGACTTCATATTGGCTAGAATGTAGAACATTTACGTAAACAACGGCTAAAACATAACACAGAGCATCATGGTTACCGTAAGGCCTCGCTGGGCACCTGAAGGGCAGCCCCCCACCACGCTCCACGGGCTCCTCCCTTGCAGAGGTAGGGTCAGCCTGGCCGGGACCCCTTAGGGCTCCACAACCAGAGACATTCCCCTTTGCTGCTTTGGGCTTTGTGCACACAGAATCATGCAGGACACATCCTGTGCGTGTGAGTCTGGGCCCCCACCCTCCCCTTGGGCGGACGGAAGCATTGCTGCAACCAGCCACCTCTCACGCACGGGGCCGGGCTGCTGTGTGCCCCAGGCGAGGGTCATGCACCTGCTGGACAACCATCCTCAGGCTTCAGAACTACCGCTTTCATGCCTCCCGGGAGCTGGGCTCCCTGGGCCTTTCTGGCCACCTGAGCCTCCCCTGCTCTGGAGGACCGTCCACCTGTTCCCATGTCCCCGTCCCCCTGCATCCTGGCGGGGTCACTGTTTCATCTTTCACTGCCTCTCTAGGGCTTCAGATGCTGCGCTCTGGTCCTGCTGCTTTGGTGGTGGCCCCAGAAGCTCCAGCGTGTGAAGGGAGCCCACACTTTCAGAGGGTCGAGCAAACGCTCTGCCCACCACCGGCCTCATCCCCTGTGGTGCCCAAAACCCCTCACTCACCCTCAGTGCCTCCACCACTGTCTCTCTGACCTGCGCGCAGAACGATCCTTCTTTCTCAACGGCTGACAAATTCTCTGCTCATCTTTGTCCAGTCTGCAGCTAATCCTGGCAAGTGAGTGGATGTCCTTTTCATATTTTGCATTTTTCTGAAGCTTGTTTTTGGCTCTCTCAGCTATATGCACCATCTGTCTGCCTTGCAGCAAAGCGTGCTCACGGGATAGGAGAGGAAATTATTGGGATGTGCTCCATCCTGCGGGACCAGCTAGCTGGGGAAGACCCACGCCCCCCTGCACTGTCCCCTGCGTCTGTTTGTTGATGCAGACGTGATGACTGGCACTCCTGCAGCCCCCTTGGACCATGAGGTGAACTTGCAGATGGAAGCCATGTGTGGAGGAAGCAGAAAGGCAAGACTTTGGACCCTTGATGACAGTCGGGGTCATTGTACCACCTCAGGATCGCCTACCTCTGGATTCGTTGTTCAAGAGAGAAGTAAACATCCAGCTCCCACTGTTATCGTAAGGCCCTGTGCTCTGGGTTTTCTGGCTCATCAGACAGCCAATTGCAGCACTTCTAACTGATATGCTGGGCTGTGCCTAAGGTCCTGGGTTTTGCTGGTTGGTCTAGGGCCATTGTGTGTAGGTGGGCATGCGTGCGGTCCTGGTCACGTGGCCAGCCGGGGTCCGAGGGAATGGCTGTAGCCTGGAGGCTGTGCGGAGGTCCCCACGGGGCTTTTCCTCCTCTCCATGTGGCCTCTCTGGACCCAGCGCCCTGACTGCTTCTACACCATGCTGGGCGTGGGAGCCCACGCTCCGCCCCAGGGCTGTACCACAGCCCCGTCCACCCGGCCCACCCCACTGCCTCCTCCGCTCTAGAAACCACAACCTGCCTCTGAGTTTAGGGAAGAGTCTTGGTATCATGACTGACCACCACCACCCAGAAACAATCTATTTCGTTCCGGAACTTCCTTATACCTCTCCCAGGAGACTGCTAGAAAGGCATAGGTGGCAGACCCAAGGGAAGCCAGCCTCCACGTGCCTCTTCCCACGCCCGTTTATCCATCCCCGCAAGCCCCTAAACCAAGCTCTCTGCAAAAGCTGCTCACACGGTCAGCTAACAAGTCAGTTGGCTTCTTTACCAGAGGGGTGACGGATGAGGCAGAACACGCACAATGCTCCGCCGACGCCCAAGCTGGTCAGCTGTGTGTGGTCCACATGCATGGATGCAGGTCCCTCCGACATGGACTCTAGGAATGAGGCTTGCTAGCAATCCCTTCCGCCCCTGCTCTGCCCACCATTCTGTGACCAGCCTCCCCGACGCATCGATGACTCCAGAATGGGTTGGGCTCGGGACAGAGAGTGATGTCAGGGGCAACCAGGTACCGTTTCAGTGCTACTGCCCCACCTCACGGAGACAGCGCTCTCCTGTCCCCCACGGACACTCTCCTTTTGGCTTACACCGACCTGCCTGGCACTCACTTCTTGAGTTCAGCTTTTGGAGAAGGTGGCTGGAAGGCAGAGGTCAGCCCTCACCACTGGGTGGCCTCCAGGTGGAGCATTTGAAAGCAGACCTTCTGGCAGCCCTGATGAGCCATGAGGACCGTCTCCTGCAGGTGACGATGCTCAGAGCCTCTGTCCCCCTCTTGGCCTGGGCGTGGCCTGGGCAGGTTCCCCCAAAGCCGCTCCATGCCATGCTGGACCAGAGAAGTGCCAGCTTTGGGACAGGACAGCACAGCAAAGGAGTCAAAGCAGGAGACCAGGCTGGGAGAGGGAGGGCATCCCAGGGTCCAGCTCCAGCAAGGCCAGCTAGCTAAATGGACCCCACCCTGTGTGTCTGGAAGGAGAGGAGTTGAGAGAGACAGACAGACAAGGAGAGCAAATCAGGTAGAAATAATGATGCCGGGTTCACCCCTGCCCTCCCCCAAACCTCGGCTCCAGGGACACAGGGCAGCTGGGCAGACCCCAGGCCCAGCCCCCAGCATGCAGGCACGGTGGGTGTCTCTGCGCTGCCGGCGGGCAGGGGCCCCGGAGTCGGCGGCCAGGACAGCAGCATCTGCACACCGGCAGCCCCTCGTCCAGCGTCCCGTCCCACGGGCTCTTCCCACCACCTCCCCAAGTTCCTCGCTCTGCTGTCCACCGAGCTGCTGCTGAGCAGGGGGCCAGTCATGTCTGCCAAGCCCTGGTGGCGTGGGGGCTCACCCTGGCAGGAGCAGTGAGAACCACAGAGACCGGCCTTGGGCCACAAAGGGACAGACCAGGGACCTCAGGGCCAACGAGGCGGAACCCGGGTGGCTGGCCCTTTGGCCGTGGATATCTTGGCTGTAAGCCTGTTCCCCACATAACTGACTGGCCACACAGCAATTTTGTGAAGGATAAAAAAGTAACTGGCTACTAACAGCTTGGTTTGACAGTTCCATTTCCTGACGCTGGTGGACAGTTTGGTTTCATGTCTCCATTGAAATAAGCAGGTGTGCGCAGAGCAGGGCGGGAGACCCTCCCTCGGCCACGTCCGCCGTGTGGAGAGCGGCAGTCCCGGGGTCAGGTGGACGGCGTCCCCGCCCGCGGGGGCTGCAGCGGCACCACCTGGCTGACCAGCCAGCAGGCAGGCCGAGCGGTGTCCACGGCGAGAGATCAGACATGACGCGCGTCTCACACACCCATGCGAGCACACGCACGCGAACACACAGACACATCCAGGTATACACACAAACACACGTGGAAACTTAAAGTGCAAGATCACTTTCAAACAACAGCATTGTAGAAAGTTGGAGTAAGGAGTAAGGTGAGTCGGGAATTCCCGTGTTTTTGTGATTCTGCCACCTTAGCAAACAAACAACCCAACCATGTCTATTCTTGTGTATAACAAACGGTGTCATATTTTGTTCAAATTTTTAAAATCAGGTTCTTAAATTGGGCAGGTAATTTGGGTGCTCTTTTTTAACTTCTGGGAAATGCTTCAAAAACAGGATAGAACAAAAAGTTTTTATTTGCAAACACTATTAACCATTTCCTGTTCCGACCTCAGAAATAGCTGCGAACCTGCTGCCACCTCCCGGGGCCACAGTCGGTCCAGGCCGGGTGACATCACCTCCCTGCCAGCTCAGAGGCAGTTTCGGGATGATCCTTCTGCTTCCTGTGTTTTACCATAAATGGAAACTTCCCTGTGACTGGGCTGCTGCCTCGGGAAAGCGCAGGGGGATCCCCCTCTCCCCCACTTTCCATCGTGCTGGCTCATGTTCCGGCTCCCCCGCCCGCCCGCACACCCTTGCTTGGCGTCACAGTCACTGCTCGCCTGGCACCTTGGAAACCAGACTCGCTTCTCGGGAGGGTGGGAGGCACCAGGCAGGAAGCTTCTCCCGCCCGGAGAACCAGACCCCGCTTTGGGAGGGAGGGCAGCACCCACCTTGCAAACGACCCTCCACCCTCGGGGCCTCCTGAGGGACCTCGGTAGCTGGTGGCAGGCTTCCCCAGGCAGCGCACAGCCAGGACAGGAACACGGGCCCACGGGCGCATGGCGCGGAGCACGCAGGACAGGCAGCCCTCATGGGACAGAGTCGGCAGCTCACAGACTCCCTGAGCGTCTCCGCCCCATCACAGGCCTCAGCCCAGAAGGGCCCAGCTGTGCTCAGCCCGCACAGAGCACTGTGCGGGCACAAAAAGGAGCCCTCGGGAGACACGCACGCGTGCAGTGCAGGAAGGAGGACCAGGTCGTGCCACAGGGAACCCAGCCCAACAGGCCACACGCCAGATCACCCACGGCGTGGCGGTGCGCAGACATGAGTGGACAGGAGGGAGGGGCGGGGACTCCTGTGTGCGGAGCGCAGGGTCGTCCCAGAGCGGGCACCGGCCACACAACAC